CTCTGAAACGAGAGTCGCAATGTCCTGCAACGAGGGCCAGTTCGACCTCTTCATACGTTCGCAATATCTCAGCAGTTCAAGTTCACTCATCAATAGGCGATACCGCCTCTTCCCACCGACGTCCTTTTTACAACATCCACTCACAATAGCAACCTCTTGCAGCATCCTGCCTCTGGGGTCTTTCGATATTTGCGAACCTGGGCCTTACTCAAGCCCTAGATAGTTGATGCTACTTCATAATGTGATGGTACTGAAACATACTTTGCGTCTTCTTAAGTCTTTTACATAGGGCCGACACTGTCCTTTTCGAACACTGCCTTTCCTTTTAATCGAAATCTTCTAACGCGAATCTTCGTTTTCAGAAACTTTGAAGTCCTACGGTTCTACACTTTTCTGCACGCCTTAGGTTTGCTAGTGGCACGCAATGGCTTTTATTAGCAAGATTGCCACAGGATTTAAACCAACCGTTTGCCTGCAGGGAACCGAGCAGCCGCCTGGTCATCGATCATCAAATCGCGACCGTGTTAAGAATGAATGTTCTAAGCAAATGAGGCATACCTCTCATCCGACAGAGCTTTGTTTTTCCTGATTGGGATCACTAATATCGTTATCAGGAAAGTGGATGATCAATTCAATGGCAACTCAGAAATGATTATCAAACATCTCATTCAAAGGCAGTGATCACGATTAGAGGGCGGTGCGGTTTTCCGGTTTTGTAACGTCATTGAACGTCACTGGTGAACTAGATCCCTCAGCGCGATGGGGGCAGGAGTGTGGTTGGGACCGCCCTTTCACCTCAATAAGTTCAATAACGTCATCAAAACCGCAACGCCCCTAGCCAGGGTCCACCGTGTGTTGCGCAGTTCTCAACGATTGGATCGTGCTCGAGTTTTCTGGAGGTGAAAGGGGGGGGGGTCGGATTTGGAGTTAATATTGATCGAATGTTGGAAAGGGAGTCGTATTTTTGAAAGATGAAGGGGCTCTGGTTGTGGAAGAGGGGTCGT